ACTCTTGCCCAGGCTGGAGTGCAGTCATGTGACTGCAACCTCTACCTCCCAGGTTCAAGCGATTCTTCTGCCTTAGCCTCCCGAGTAGCTGGGATCACAGGCATGTGCCACCACGCCTGTCCACATCTTGTCTTTGCTTCAGCACCAACTTCTCCTAGGCACAGACTGCTCCCTCCTCGAGTCACTTGGGTTCTGTCCACTTTCAGGGTTTCTCTCCATCCGGCTCTTGTCCTTTGTTTCCAGCTGCTTCTCATCCTCTGTGCCCTGTTAACCAGACCCTAGCTGGTTTATTTTAGCAAAATTACTCTTCATTCGGACATAGACCTTACTCACCATTTTCATCAACTTATGTATTCAGTCTTTAGCCAGTCCTGGTTTCAGATGCCTTCTCTGCTTTTGGCTTTCATCTGTAACCATTGTCCTGTCCTTTTTGTGTCATTGCTCCTTATTCCCTAGTCATTGGAAATCAGCAAGCCATGGATGCCCCGAGATCTCCAGGACTCCAGATGTAAATACAGGGTCTAAACTGTCCAGTTACAGCTTAATCACAGGCAGGCTGTGCAAGTCAAGGCACAGGTGGATGGTGAGATCCAGACATGCCGTGGATCTTAGACAAACAGCAAGCAGAGGTGACCTCGGGGTCAGGTGGTCCCTGGCTTCCAGAGGTGAGACGTCTGGGTGTTGCGCATGCTGTTCCTGCTGTGGGGAAAGCACCCCATCTTCCCCATCTCCATTCCTACAGTCCAGAGTCACTTTCCGGGGAAAGGCTTTGCTGCTGCCCCTGCCTCCCCTGCTCCACTCTGTAAGTGCCTCTGTCTCTGTGGTCCCACGGGAACTTGGGTCAACTTTCGTCATGGCACTCTTCATGCTGTGCTGTAAGGCTTGCCTGTGTGCCCTTCCCGTTAGGCCAGGGGTATCCAATCTTTTGGCTTCTCTGGGCCACACTGGAAGAAGAATTGTCTTGGGCCACACAGAAAATACACTCGCACTAACCATAGCTGATGAACTTAAAAAAATAAAAATTGCAAAAAAAAAATCCCATATTTCTTTTCGTGAGATGGAGTTTCACTTTGTTGCCCAGGCTGGAGTACAATGGTGCAATCTCAGTTCACCACAACCTCCACCTCCTGGGTTCAAGCGATTCTCCTGCCTCAGTCTCCTGAGTAGCTGGGATTACAGACATGTGCCATACGCCCAGCTAATTTTGTATTTTTAGTAGAGACGGTTTCTCCATGTTGGTCAGGCAGGTCTTGTACTCCTGGCCTCAGGTGATCCGCCTGCATCAGCTTCCCAAAGTGTTGGGATTACAGGCATGAGCCACCGTGCCTGGCCCTTCATAATGTTTTAAGAAAGTTTACAAATGTATGAGCCGGGCATGGTGGCTCACGCCTGTAATCCCAGCACTTTAGGAGGCTGAACCAGGCAGATCACTTGAGACTGGGAGTTCGAGACCAGCCTGGCCAACATGATGAAACTCAGTCTCTACTAAAAACACAAAAATTAGCCAGGCATGGTGGCACATGCCTGTAATTCCAGCTACTCAGGAAGCTGAGGCAGGAGAATCTCTTGAACCCGGGAGGCGGAGGTTGCAGTGAGCCAAGATCGCACCACTACACTTCAGCCTGGATAACAGAGCGAGGCTCCATCTCAAAAAGCAAAACTAGCCAGGTGCGGTGGTGGGCGCCTGTAATCCCAGCTACTTGGGAGGCTGAGGCAGGAGAATCACTTGGACCCGGGAGGCGGAGGTTGCAGTGAGCTGAGATTGCACCACTGCACTCCAGTGTAGGCAACAGAGTGAGACTGGTCTTAAAAAAGAAAATAAAAAAGAAAGTTTACAAATTTGTGTTGGGCCACGTTCAAAGCTGTCCTGGGCCGCGGGCCGCGGGTTGGGCAAGCTTGCATTAGACAGTAGTTTTTCAAGGTAAGAATTGTTCTGTCTGTTCCTGAGATAGGCAGATAGAGAGTAGTTTTAATACACACTTCTTGACTGAATAGAAAGTAACCATGGAAATTCTGGAAGGGATTTCTGAGGCCATGGTAATCCAAGAGTGGTCCAGGGAGCAGTAGCACCGGCATCACCTGGGAGCTTATTAGAAATGCCAACTAGGGGCCGGGCACCGTGGCTCACACCTGTAATCCCAGCATTTTTGGAGGCCATTGCAGGCGAATTACCGGAGTTTGAGACCAGCTTGGACAATGTGGTGACACCCTGTCTCTACTAAAACTACAAAAATTAGCCCGGCTTGGTGGTGCACACCTGTAATCCGAGCTACTCGGGAGGCTGAGGCAGGAAAATTGCTTGAACCTGGGAGGCAGAGGTTGCAGTGAGCTGAGATGGTACCACTGCACTCTAGCCTGGGCCACAGAGTGAGACTGTCTCAAAAAAAAAATTTTTTAAAGATATGCAAACTCTCAGGCCTCACCACAGGCCTTTTCAGTCAGCATCTGCACGTACCAAGATCCCCTAGGGGATGTAGGTGATTTATTTGTACATTAAAGCTCGAACATCCCTGGGCTGTTAGGAATGCTTCAGTTTCATGGAAGATGTGGGACTTTGGTGGTTCTTCGAGTTAATAAAATTTGATCGTGGCAAAGTAGAACGCATCCTTTGTTTTTCTTTGGAGAGGGAGTCTTGCTGTGTCACCCAGGCCAGAGTGCAGTGGTGTGATCTCAGCTCACTACAACCTCCACCTCCCGGGTTCAAACAATTCTCCTGCCTCAGTCTCCTGAGCAACTGGGACTACAGGTGCCCGCCACCATGCCCGCCTAATTTTTGCATTTTTTTTTTTTTTT